CGTGGATTTGGCGCGCGGTCGCCAAGTCCATGGATCGGGGGAGGTGCCCTCCCCCAAATGCGGCCGGTGCCGCCTCGCTCGGCGGCGGAAATCCGCGACTTCCCATGGAAGCAGGGACCGTCGCTGATCCACACCCCCTTGATCCATGGTTGCGATCGCCCGAGGCTAGGAGCCAGGAACACCCAGAAACCTCGATCTTCCATCCGCGATCCTCCTCGACCCCCCTTTTCCGACCCTTTTGCTTCGTGGTGGAGCCACCGTACCCCAGTAGGCCGTCTTGTCGGGATAGCCCGGCATTGGTCGGGAGCGGCCAAGAGGGGGGTGTCCAAGAGGGAGGGGTGCAAATCATGACCGGCGGCATGTGCGCGGCCCAGCGGGGGGGCCAGGGACGTAAAATGAAATAAGAAGAGGCGCCATGAAATCTGGGGAAATATCATGGCCCCCGCCATGATATCCACCCCCCCCTAGTCATCACCCCCCTCTTTTCCGTCCCCGGATCCTCCTCGACCCCCCTTTTCCGACCCTTTGGCTTCGTGGTGGAGCCACCGTACCCCGGTAGGCCGTCTTGTCGGGATAGCCCGGCATCGGGCTCCAGGAGAACTCCGCCCTCCCGAGCTCGAACTGAAGGCCGTCGCCGCGCGCCTTGACAAACGCCTCCTTCCGGGAGGCTCTCAATACACCCAACCCCCCAGACCTCCGACTAGGGGGCCACATGCGAACCCTACCCCTACCCCCCACGATTTCTGAGGGGGAGGGTGGGGTTCACTTCGCTCGGGAGCTCCCGAACGAGGTGAACCCCACCCTCCCCCTCAGAAATCGTGGGGGGTAGGGGTAGGGTTCGCATGTGGCCCCCTACCGACGTCGTGATTTGCACACAGCGTGTAGCCTGGAGTTCCCGACGCATTCCGCTGCACCAGCTTGTCTTCCCATGCACGGTCCTCGGGCCCAGCGAGGGCCCCGGGACCGAAAGTAGGAAAAAGCCTCCCGCCGTGATTTTTGTTGGACGACGCGAAGGGGTCTGGGCTCCCTGGCCTGTCCTCGCCCTCCCCCCCCTTCGGGGTTCAAAGCTCAAGGGCTGGCTGCATCCCGAGAGTCGCAGTCCGCAGAACGAGGAGAGGAGAGGGTAAACAACGACCGAGGGGCCAGCCGAAGGGCCACAAACACTGAACGCCGCCATCCTTCGGGGAGAAGGGAAAGGGTTCTAGGATTCTAGGCTAGCCACGCACTCGCCCCGAAAGGGCGACCCCATGGCAGAGAGAAAAATGCGACGACGATGACGACGACGACAACGAAAGACAGGGAAGGGGAAGGGGAGCGGGAGTGAAGGCGGAAAGAGAAGATAGAGGAGGACGACGGCGACGACGATGGGGGAGGGAGAGGAGGAGGTGGTGGTGGAGCCGCTGGGGGACTGAAGTCTGCAATATCGACAGCGTGGACGCCTCTAGGGATGATATGAAAGCGAAGCGGAGAAGAAGAGGAAGAGGAGGATGAGGAGGCGATCGAGTACGTAGGAGGATACATATGAGGAAAGGAGGAGGGGAAGTTGAAGAAGAATCATGTTGCGATGAGGGCGAGGAGGGCACGGGACAGCGGAGAACGCGACCGAGCTAAGAGGAAGATCGAAGGCGGTAGACGGAAAGGTTCAGAGAGCGACCACCCGCTCGAAGATCACCCCTGGAGCTCGCCATCTGGGAGGAGGGGGTCCTCTGGGCCACGACGGGCCTTCAGACGGGCCCGATCCACCACCCCGACGCCCCAAAGATAGGGCGTCCCCCCCAGGAGAGTCCAAACCACGCCAGGCCTCTCGCCGGAGGTGCGACCGCGGTCCCGACCCCAGTGGGCTCCCGAGGACGGGGAGCCGAAGAGCAGAAGCACGCGGAGTAGGACCCGAGCATCCTGCGGATGGGCCAGCTCCGCTCGGCGGAGTGACCTCGGGCAGCAGCCCCAGGCCCAACCCAGACGCCAAAAACGCCCTGCCGCGCTGAGACGGTGCCTTCCCATGCTGAGCTCGAAGGTGCTTCTTGGCAGGGGGCGTACCTCTCGAAGTCCAAGCCAACTGGCGATCGCGACCAAGAAGATCGCAACCCCGAACAGTCTGACGCGAGAAGGTTCCGACCCCAGCGGCCCCCGAGGTGACAGATCGCCCCGCAGCTGGAGCAAAGCGCCAGCGAACCCTGGGGCGTGTCAGCCTCGTCGATGACCTGCGCCTCAAGAACCGCGTGGCCTCGAGCAGGCCAGACATGGAGCGAGGGCCACTCCACCCTCGTAGGATGGGCATCGTTTAACCGATCCCTATCCCCATGGGCGTGGCCCGAGCCCCACTGGCCGCTTTACCCCCCTGGATTGGGATACAGGCCGTTCCCTTCGGGTTTCGAGGGGTGTGTCCCCAACTGGGGTGGTAATTTGGTGGGGGTCTCGAAAGGGATGATGATGGTCATTGCACCGACCTTGCAGACGTGCTGCAGCGGATTTCTGCGTGGATTTCTGCACGAAGCGGCGCGGGAAAAACGAAGTGAATTTCGCGATGATTCTTTTTGGTCTCCATTCCTGGCCAACAAAATCCGCGCGAACTTCACCTCGAAACTCAGAGCAACATTCTCCAGGACACCCCGGGCCCGCCCGATCGCACTCCGAACAAGACCCGCTCTGCGACGTCGGCCCACGGCGGGAGCGCCCACAGAGAGGGAGGGCGAGGAGAAGGGGGAAGGAGGAGGAGAAGGAGGAGGGGGAGGAGGAGGAGGAGGAGGAGGTGGTGGAGGAGGAGGAGGAGGAGGAGGAGGAGGAGGAGGTGGAGGAGGAGGAGGAGGAGGAAGGGGAGGAGGAGGAGGAGGAGGGGGAGGAGGAGGGGGCGGTGGCCCTTCCGTCGTCCCCGTTCCCCCCCCCGCCCACCCTGGTCGGGGGGAAATCGGTGGGGCCGCTCTCGGGCGTGCGAGGCCGAGCCGTCCATCCGCGAAAATCGTCACCATCAGCGTCTTCACCATCACCATCACCATCATGATCAGCAGCAGCATCATCATCATCATCATCATCATCATCATCATCATCATCATCATCAGCAGCAGCAGCAGCAGCAGCATCAGCATCATCATCATCATCATCAGCATCATCATCATCAACAACAACAACATCATCAACCTCATCATCATCATCATCATCATCATCATCATCAGCAGCAGCAGCAGCATCATCAGCATCATCAACACCACCACCACCATCATCATCAGCATCATCATCCTTATCAGCAGCAGCATCAGCGTCATCATCGCCATCATCAGCATCATCAGCAGCAGCATCATCAGCATCACCAGTATCGTCATCCTCAGCAGCATCATCATCAGCATCATCATCTTCGTCTTCATCTTCATCGTCATCGTCATCAGCATCAGCATCAGCATCAGCATCACCACCACCACCACCTCCATCATCATCATCATCATCATCATCGTCATCATCATCATCATCAGTATCAGCATTAGCACCATCATAGCCATCAACATCATGATCACCAGCAGCAATCGCATTATCACCATCACCATCACCATCAGCATCAGCATCAGCATCATCAGCACCATAGTCATCACCATCAGCATCAGCAACAGCATCATCGGCATCATCAGCATCATCACCGTCGTCATCATCACCATCACCCGAATCAGCATCACCATTACCATCGTCATGATCACCATCAACACCACCATCGTCACCAGCAGCAAAACTGTATGTTGTGTTCCAGAAAGCTTCGTCGAATTCGAACCGAACGCGCCCCCAAAAAGCAAACTCCAATATCACGAAAAGCATAAATTCATTGTTTCGTATGGTTCGCTGTATACATGTACAAAGCTCATCCAGAAGAACAAAAAAAAAAAAAAAAAAAACGGCACGTCCAGCCAGAACCTTGGTTATGATATGTGCGTGTTGGATTTGCTCTTGGAATCCCAATGGTGTCTTTATGTGTGTACGGGTTTATGTTTGATTGGTTGTCTGCACTTGACATTGTTTCCTGGACCCCTAGTGTCTTTGCATGTCTGCTAGAGGAAACGCAAATACGAAAACCAAGCCAAACCAGAAAACAAGCGGAAACCCAATCTTCAAAAATGGAGGAACCATTGGTTGTCCAAGAGTATTCCAGAACCTCCAACCGAAACCTTTGGTATGCTAATTGTCTGGGGGTTTTATTGTGGCACCAATGGTTCCGGTATGTGGGTACTGTTGCTCTGGCTGTTCTGGTGTGTTCGTTGGTTTGTTTCCGTGGCCCTTGTTTTCCGTTGTATTTATTTTGAAGAAACACGGGATGTGTGGAAAAAATACAATATCCAGAAACATGCATAATGTTCCAGAGGGGGGTGACCGCACTAATGTCACAGTGCGGCCGCGGGCCAAAATTTCTATAATCTCCAGCGGACCGAAATTGCTACAACCCCCCATTTGTTCATGAATTTCTGCTGGCCTCGAGGCGTCAGGATGTGCAGCATGCGTGTCGACGATTTGTATGGCGGTCGTGTCACGTTTTGGCTGCGGGCCGAAATCGCTAAAATTCCCTGCGGGCCAAAGTTGCTACAATTCCCCCTGTCAGGGATCTCCGATGGCTTCGAGGCGCCAGGACGTGCATCATCAAGTCGGCGACTTGAGTGGCAGTCGTGGCACGTTCTGGTCGCGGGCCGAAAGTGATACAATCATCCGCGGGCCAAAGGGATGCAACAAATCCACCTTTTGTATTCAGGAATCTCCGATGGCCTCGACGAGTCAACATTGCAGCATGCGTGATCGGCGGTTTTGTTCATTCGGGGAGGCGTGATTGCCGACATGTTCCAACATTCGCCTCCTCCTCCTCCTCCTCATCATCATCATCTCTCTCCCCCTCTCTCTCTCGCTTTCTCTCTCTCTCTCTCTCTCGCTCGCTCTCTCTCTCTCTCTCTCTTTCTCTCTCTCTCTCTCTATCTCTCTCTCTCTCTCTCTCTCTCTATATATATGTCTTTCTCTCTCTCTCCATCTCTCTCTCCCTCTACCTTTCTCACGACGGGCTTGGGAAGTACAAAAGGGTCAATCAAAATAAGAACAATACATCACGATGTGAAACAGGCGCATGAGAGCAAGAGGAAGAAATTTCGACGAAAAAAACACGATGGCAGAAACAAGCGCGTGACTATTTGCACCGCAGCGTCAGCCGCGCTGGTTCAAACTAGACTTTGAAAGTCGGACATCGCACCATCCCCAAGGCGCACTTCCAGGCACTGCTTTCCATGAGCGCCGAGCGGACGCCACGTGCGTCTCCACCCGCCCTTGGAGCGGCAGCGTTGTCATCTTTCTCCATGAAGGACGTCGGCCACAGCTCCGGGCCGCGCCCTCTGCGGCCCTGTTGCGCGTCGGCGGCAGGGCCTACGACACCAAGGAAGTCCTGTGTTGCATGGAGCACGACGACAAACGTGCCCGTCGCGGGACGCACGTCGGAGGCGTGCCCGCTCTGGAGAATGAAGCACAGAACAGCGCGAACCTGGAGCAGGAGCTTGGCCAGGTGATCGAGAGAGGCCACAGATTGCCGCAACGGGCGCCTTCTGAGTGTGCACGAGTAATCGAGGACGGCCACGGAGTGGAAACCCTTCCTGAGAAGGATCTGGGGGACGATTCGTTCGCCAAGGTCACCAGCAATTTCGCTCAGA